TATTCAGCTGTTGTGATTAGCATTAGTAATAAAATTCAAAATGAATTCGAATATTTTAGTCTTTATTTTATTCACAGTAAATTATCAGACAACCTATTATTCTGTTATCAGTATTATTCTTCTAAAGTAAATAATCATTTCTTGACATTAAACTTTTTTTGCTAATCAAAGCTTGTTGACATTTCGCTGAACTTTAATAAATCTTTTAATTAACAAACTTTATTTGCAAAGAATATAAGAGTTATAATCGGTCGTCAGCAGGCGTTTAAAATATTTTCAGTGTATAAAAAGCATTCAAACAAAAATATCTTCTTTGGAAAGGTTGTTATTATATATTTTAGTGAGCATTTTTCATTTTTTAGTTAAAAAATAATTGCTATTTTTTGGTCATATCGGTTAGAGTATATCTTCTTAGTATACTTTCAATTTTAAAAATGGGTAGTATAATTAGTGATCAACTTTATTGCAACTAAATTAGTACAGTATGATTTAATGATGGTAATTTTAGTATAATTTTAAAAATGATTTTTTATATTTTCTTTAAGTTAATTAATATTTTAAAAAAAGGGAATTATTTGAATTGAATAAATATGGTAGAATTCATCAATTTTTTTTGGTATTAATGAATTATTCAGGATTTATTTGCAAAAATAGTAGTAAAATTCAAAAACAGATAACAATTTGACAAGCACGTAAAATACGTGAAAAACGTAAGCATACGTAAGGCACTAGCAATGAAGAAATATTTTTAGTGGTACAGGTGCGCTAACTAATTTCTTTTCACCACGATCATATTTATAAACTTGATCATTGCCAAATACAAGCGCTTTTTTCATTTCTTGAATGAGAACACCTAAAAAATACGCCAAGCTATCAAAATTGCTCATTTTATTTTAAAAGCATAAATAAATTAATAAATTATTACTAACAGAATTATTATTTTGAAGGGTTCCAAGCAAAGTATAACTTCTTCACAATTTTCACTACAATATTGAGCTTAAAAATAGTTGCAAGCACATGTTATTACTTGTGCTTTTACTTATAAAAAAGCAAAAAAATTAAATTCAAAATAATTGTAACTTTTGCAAAAATGATTTTAAAATATTTTTAGAGGGAAAAATGTGACGGATAAATTTCGTTTATAACTTTTAACTTTTGAACAGTAAATGCAAAATACTTCTTGCTGCAATGATATTTTTTGCAAATAAATTGATAAAAAATTTTAAAGTTAAAAAAATCTCTAAATGAAATGCAGTCGTTCAGAATTACATTAAGCTATTGCTGTCTTTTTTCAGCTTAATAACTTAGTATGTTAAATCACAATTTCGACAATAAAATTGCTTTTTAAAACATTTATTTTTAAAAATTTTTAAAATATTAAGTGAAAAAATAATATTAAATACTACAACTAGTATTAAAGCATATCTTACCTCGGATTGGTTTCCTTGGAAAATTATCAAAGTAATTTTCTATTTTATTCTGCAGTGTTATGCGATTCCAGTTCTCATCATATGTAGCAAAATTATTACCCTTCAACTTGCATATATTTTGGCTTATTTATGCAAAAATTCAGAATTATTGAAAATGATTTTCTATCAAAATTCGTGCAGTAGATGACAGTATTATAAACAGTTTCAACAGTCGATATATAATTCTGATTCAGTTTGACTTTCGTACTATATTTTTTCATTTTTGTGCTGTTGATTTATTATTACTAAAATACTAATTAAATTAGTATTTCAGCATTTAAAAAAATATAAAATTAGTATTAAAAATGATATACTAATATTTTAGCAAAATGTGCTTATTAACAAATCTTTAATTAACGAAAATAAAAAATGTGCCAACTGTTCAAAAAAAATAAGTAATTTTTCAAATAAAGATAATAGAAGGGCAGGAATATCTCATAAAATGCTGATTAAAAGTCAACTTAATTAAGGCTAACTGCAATTCTATTTTTTCGACAAGTTGTTCAAAAATGATTCGATAAGATTATGAATTTTATTCTGCTTAACTTTTATATTTTATTTTTATCATATCTTAACTTTTTATTTTTTTCCATATTTGACATTTATTCATTTCCAATTTTTGTTTTATCATACTTTTTTGAATAAAATATCACGCAAAAATATGGGATTAAATCGTAAATTAAATTTCAAGACTTATCACTGATTTTTTGAAGTGCCTTTTTTGATGAACACAGTTTTACAAATTACTTATATTCAAGTCAATTCAGATTGATTTTAATTAATCATAGTTTATTATCAGCTAATTTTATATTAATATAATAAAATAATTGAATTCTAACGTTAGTAATAATCTGTGACCCTTCGCTCCATAAAAAAGCTCCCATTGGCTGGAAATTCAAATTTGCAGGTAATTTTTTAGGATAATCCGATTCTAGAACAAATTTATTGCTGTTCATTTCACGACTATAAACGTAAACCTAAAATAATTTCATCCTTAAATTACAAAATCATTTACAACAAATAATGAACCAAGTAAAACTTTTAAAAACTTTAAAAGTGGCAACTTTTTCTATTTATATTAATTTATGAAAAAAATCTTTTAGTTGAATTATATGACAGGGCAAAAAATTATTCGCTGAAAAATTGTGCAAAATATTAAAATGCGTACAAATAACTAACAATTAATTCTATCAAATTTTTATACAAATCAAAATATACCATTTTACCATGGAAAAGAAGCGTTCGATGCGTACGTGGATTTGACATTGCACCTTGAACAAATGGTGGTCCACGTGGAAAAAGACTTTTCAACGAATATTCTTTGTTGATACCCTTATCATCAAATTCATAAATTTCACTTCCACTGAATAAGTAATTCTTGCCATCATCTAGACGAAGTTGGAAATTTTCACGTAATTTCAGATATTAACGCTTTTTATGCGCAATATTAGCAGTTTAAAAATAGCGTCTACTAACAATCCAAATTCTATCAAATGAATTAGAGGTAACAGGTGAATGATAAACTGTAAATAATTGGGATAAAAAAATCAGAGTGAATCAACGTAATTCACTCTCATTATTCATTACAAATCACTTAATGAACTTAATCAATAATCTAATCAATTAAAACCGATAAGGTATAGCAGTAATTTACAGTATTTACTATTTTTTTATGGTATCGAAAGAATAAGGTAAAATTAAACTTAATGGATTTATGATTTACTTTTAGTACATTTGGATAAACTTCGAACTCAAAGGAAATCTTTATTCATAATTCTTTCCAAGCATTCATTTCGTTTTAATTGAAATGAGCAACTAGTTGATATTTTATTAGACTTATTCTCTAGTAAAAGGTCAAATCAGCTCACAATTTTGCATAGATTTAGCGTGACATCAAGTAAATCTTACTTGTGATCACAGCGTCAACATCATTTGGACAATTAGTGACCTCTTTTCTGCCAGAACTCGAAGTATTATCAGAATTAAATGCATCACTGGTGGAGTTCGGATCATGATCTACATTAACATCATCATCATCATAATCACTGGACCCGAAAAAGCTTTTAATACGATCCCATAAACTCTTATTTGATGATGCTGAAGATGCTCAAATAAACCGAAAAAATATACTGCAAAATTATCAATACGAGAAAAAAATAGATATCTGCAACTGTAATGTCAATTTGGGAGGCATTCAAATTATTATACAGATCAAGAAATCAAAAATTATACAGATCAAATCAATGCAAATTTGGTTTTTGCAAAGAGACACAATGTTGAAAAGGTGATAAACGAATAAGTAAGCGGACTTTGACATAATTAATAAAATCTGAATAGTTAACATAATTAATCGAATA